TGTGGAAGGTGAAAGCAACAGTAGTGCTTGTGGTCACTGAAACCCTTGGGGTAATGACCCCTAAACTGGAAGACTGGCTCAAACAAATACCAGGAGATACATCAGACCTCTTGATACAGAGAAGCACACTTTGGGAACTGCCAATATATTGTGAAGAACACTCATGCTCCAAGGCCTGTGGTAGTTGACCCAAGCTTTTTTTTTATTTAATTTTCCTTTTAGGATCAATAAAGTATTTTTGAATTTAAAAGAAGGGATAACCAGTCATGGAGTAATACAGAATTAGAAATATAAAAATCGTTTATTTAAAAAATATTTAAAGTGCCAAAAATATCATGATTACTTATGTTACTGTTAGGACAAAACTTTAAAGATTGATATTTTATCATTATCTCAATGTCTCTACTCTGCATACATGCAGATTGTCTAGGTAGTCTAAATTGTCTATTGGCAGGTACATCAGCCAATCTTTTTCTGCAGGTGTTGTGTCTGCCATTAGACAACAGTTTTTGTTTTTATGATATAAAGTGTTTTGAACTGCCCTGCTGCTGAAATGTGCTATACAAATAAACATGATTAATTGATTGAACAGAAATGATTAAAGGAAGTGACAACATTGCTGGTGGGAGATACCATCTAACTGTTGCCTCTTAATTAAAGAAAAATGTATGATAAACTATTTAACTTTGAAATATTGAATGAAAGTTACAAAATATTACTCAAAATTTTCTTGTTCCTGAAAAAAATCAGACCTTGTGTGCTTCAGAAACAAAATGGAATAATCCTTTTGTTGTACCCCTCCTCCTCTGTCAACGTGGTACAATCCGTCAAGTCCAGGTGCAAGCCATTAGTATTAATTGAACTTGTTTCATTTGTTTTGCGTGGAGAAAGAGGTAAGACTCATACAGAATCTCTTAAGACATTTAAGTACAAATAGTTTTGTAATTTTGTTGAATGTTGTAGGTTACTTGATGCTTGGATACACCAAAGCATTTGATTTGCAGCATTTTAGCTAGTAATTACCAACCATGTTAGTCAGTGTACCAGAGTTTAAAGGGAAGGTGGCTCACTCCAGAATTAGATAAAACTGTATTTGGTCATTTTCTGTATATCAGTGAGTGATATTATTTCACAGGCACAAATGATCCTAGGTAATAATCATTAGTATTAAGATAATGTTTTAATATTTGAAGATTTTGAGAATCTGTCAATAGAAAGTCAATTATGTAGTACTGTGTACTTCAGTACATTTTCACATACAATAACATCAAATCATATTGTGTACAGCAGGGGTGTCAAACTCAAGGTCTTAAGGGCTGGTGTCCAGCAACTTTTAGATGCGTTTCTGATGCCACATGGCTGGATAAAATGGGGTGGTCATCAACTTGATTGCACTGAGAAGCTAATTCAGTCATATACTTAAGGTGTTTTAGACCAGAAAAACATCTAAAAGTTGCAGTACCCTGGCCCTCGAGGCCTGGAGTTTGACACCCCTGGTGTACAGTATCATGTTGTATTCTCTGATCTTTGCAGGAGATGTCAACAACAAGGTCTCAGAGAGCAAACATGATTCCAGTTATTTCTCCTTAGGTGAAGATAAAGAAGGATTTGATGTAAAATACCTCAATTCATTTAAAGGTGAGTTGTGACTATATTATGCACAGGATTCCAGAGTTTATTAAATGATTGATTTTTCTTTTGTTTTGCTTTTTCACT